TTTATAAAGCAGGATTTTGGCTAATTGTATTTTCCCAATTAGATTAATTTTCTGGATTTCCTCCAAATCTATGATCAACAGCAATTTTTCTTCTTGCAGCAAAATATCCATCTGCTGGATTCCCATTTAATTCATTATTAAGAGCTTATTCAACTTATTAAGGAGATAATCCTCCATTAAATGAGGGAGAAGCATTAACACAACTTTTGAATGCGCTTACTTTTTCAATCATACCTCCAATGTAGGTATCAACAGAAATATGAGTTCCCCATGATTCTAAGAAATCGTTATATACTTCAGGTGAATATTCTTAAGGTAAAGCATTTACAGCTCTTTAGGCATATTTATTTAGGCTCAGATTATCACTCTTAAAAGTCAATCTCAGAACATTCTTAGCCATTTGTGAAACAGACATTTCTTAATCTCCTTAAAAGAATTTTTCAAATATCTAATTTAAATCTTATGAGTGACTATATTATCCTCCCAACCAGTAGCCATTTTAAGCAGCTTAAATCCAAACATTTGATAATTCTTATTCGTTTTAAAATATTTTGATGTCTGGTTACAACTCTATTTATTCTATTTGTATCTCATCAGCTACAATAAATTGGTTATCTGAAAGTGGATCTTTCCAAATTTATTCTTGAGTGGGCTCTTTTTGATAGGTGAGTTAGATTGCAGGAAGTTTTAGTTCCCCAGTAGTAATATCAAAAGAAACTCCAACTCCAGAAGGCATATTTTGAATACCTTAAACTGCTTATTCAGTTTCAGAATTTTAAGACATCTATTACCTTTTCATGCGGATTTCTTTATATACATTTAACTATTCTTATTATCCTTGCAATCCAACACAGTAATCTCCATAAAATCCTGGATAAGGGCATAGATCTTACTTTGCTTCCTCATTTATACTAGAGGTTATCAATTAGAATAGCTATCTTTAGTTTAAAACAGACTCATTAACCAAATTTAGATCTTAAATCTATGAATTAAAGCTTTCAGAGTGATTTCGATTTTTTAAAAAGGCTTACTATGGATGGCTCAACGTTAATATAAATTATATTAAGAGAAAAGCAAGTATCTT